TACTAAAACCCATCGCAAAATGTCTTAGTTCAGTGTGGTTAGTAAGTAACTAAAATTAACAATTTTGAAAAGGTTTTTTTTTTTTAGTGAGCTATATTTATGTTTTCAAGCATTAGTCTTTGAACTTTCTAGACAGTTGATACCGCTTGCATCTTGCATTTCAAACGTGCAGAAAACGCTCTTACTGTAGTGAAAATGGAAATAGTTTAAAATTTACCGTAGTGCGATTGGTTGTTGTAAATTGTTCGTTCCTAAAAATTAGTTTTTTAGAGAAGTCAAAATTATAATAGCTCTTAAAACGTTAGAATGCGAAGATTTTCAGAGAAAACTGGTTCGGTTTTCATTTTTATAATGAAAGCAACCTGATGCTGAAACCTTATATCGAAATATTTCTTGCACGCAAATCTTTCAACTGTTTTGTGTTTCGTAAAAAGAAGTTGGCCTGAAAAGTTAATATTCAGTGGGATACACTGCCAGTCTGTTGTATATTTATGCAGTGGCAGTTTGAAGAAATTAAAGTTTTTTTGTAAATCTAAGTGCAAAACTGTACTTTGCGAAAGACAAAAAATTTTGCTGTTGAAAACACCTGAGTGTTGTTGAAATAAAGCTTTTTCTGATGAGAAAACAACTTTTTAAGACAGTTTTAATAAGCAGTTAGGTCGACGAAGAATGCAATTCTTTTCTAGTTGATATCAATCATATATTCTTTAACAAATTTTGAGCCTTATTCAGAAAAAAAACTATTTGATTATAGTCAGCTATTGACTTTTGAGAAGTTTTTTACCTTGCAACAAAATTAAATACACGGAACCAAAAAAGCGAAAAGAAGAAAAGGATTTGCTACATTAGCTTTACCTACAATTTGCGCATAAATTAACTAAACGATGAAAAACATAATAAAATAAGTATAACAAAGTAAAAATAAAACATGTAAAACACAATAAGTAGCGTTTCTCACTGCCCGTCCAAATATTTTTGACAATCACTCTATTTTTGGCTTGTCAAACAAAAAATTACTATTAAGCAATTGAATTTCAATTATCGTCTACAAAATTCATTACTGGCAGTAATACTTTTTGTGAAAAAATTAATAATTCAGTACCTTTACATATTTTTGCTACTAGTAGTGTTTCGTAATTAGTGAGGCAAAAAAGTCGGTTTTATCTGTGAAGAAATAAGCACGTTAGTGGTTATAAAAAAAAGAAAGCAAAAACAGGTTAAATCTGTGCCGCTATTCCATTCTGCCAATTGGTTATACCAGAAATAAAAGTTATCTCTTTGTGGAAACGATAAAACTAAATGCCACCATAACTACTCCGAACTTTAGGTTTTATTTATAAAAATTACTTCGAAAGAGAAGTTAAAACTTGGAGTTTCATAGAAATTACAAGTTGCATACAGAGCGCTTTCGATCTACTATAATATATTATTTTTTCTAAAATTACTAAACCAGTAGTTGCTTTAATAAAGTTAAGTCGTCTTATTATCACTAAATAAAATTATGGAAATAGAAAACTAGAGCGATAAATTTTAGTTTCTACTAGTTATCAAAATTAAACCTTTTTGCTATATTTCTTTTAAATAGTTTGTTTTTTTTCCTTTTTTAGGTTTTTATGGTTTACACTTGACGATCACTTGATATTTTGAGCGACATTTTGAAGCAACTCTGATCAACAGTCCTTGGCTAAGTAGCAAAAAGTCAAGCAGACAAAAAAGAGTGATGTAAGAAAGACAAAAAAATTGCATATTTTATAAAAATGTTAAAGCGTACTCGCTTAATCATTTACCAGTAAGTGTGTAATTAATGCGTTGAGATTGAAGTTAAGGTAATACTTTTGTATTCGCAAAGAGGCTTAAGTTGCGAGCGACAATCGACTGAAAATAATTTGTTGTCCTTCACAGCAACGCAGAAATTTTTTGTAGGACGTCTTAAGTTCGGCAAAACTGAACGTTTGTCATCGAAATGAAACTGTTGTTTAGTGGAATTGTATATTATGCCAAAATAATAACCGTCCTTGTTGTCTGCGTCACCTAAGAATTTAGCTTAAAGTCATTTTTAGAACTAAGGAAAATTTCTTATATTAAGGTTTATCAAAAAATTTTTAAAACTATCTTTTGTTTGCCACATTAAAACAATAAATGAAATCAGTAATCGAAAAATTATTTATTAATTCTACTCTAATAATTTATAAAGCTATGTTTTTTATTAATGACATTTTAATATGGTTTTGTTAATTAAGTATAAACTTTAGAAGCTAAAAGCTTTTCAATACTTTTGGTTGTAATTTTTTAACTTTTAAAACTTTTCATCCGAATTTTAATGGAGTTTTATTGCACAGATTAATTTTTCTAACGATATTGTACAGTAACTAAACTCAGTTTCTTTCCTCTTCTACTAATCACAGCTCAACGAACAAGTAAAAGTCGACTCTGCGATTAAAAGAATTTGCTTTATGCTCGGTTAAATACTTCAGTGAATCATTTTGTAAGTGAAAACATAGTTTCAAAATATGATAGGATTATTCACTGCAGTAAGTGAGCTGTAACATAGAATCAACTTACGCAGTGAGGGTTGAATAAAAAGTTTGTCATAATAGGTAGCCAATAAACCATTTTGCCAGGTCCTGCAAAAATTATCGGCAGTCGATCGATTTCCTTTTATCTCACCCTAAAACCTTCTTGAACAGTAAAACTTTTTCTGGCTGCTGTTGAATGCAAAGTTTGTTGAGTACACGAATAAAAATTAACAACTGGTAACCGGAAGGTGATTTCTTTAAGGAACTGTAAGAAAGAAACTGAAGGCCTAACACGCTTATAGCAGATTCCATTGAAGAAGGTCCATTTTGGATGACATAAGTATTGCTCGTCTGTAAACTATTATAAGATACACACACCACGGTGAGGTATTTATTAAAATAGCTGACCTTAGCGTTAGACGGAGCGAAATATCAGATAAACCTGGTCATCAAAGCTTCTGATTTGTATAAAAGCACAGATTATTTTTTATTAAAAAGATAAAAAACAGTATCTAGGTTGCTATAACCTAAGGCTTTTTAAAATAATTTGAACCGTTTTTGAGATGAGGAAGCAGAAATTTGAGGTCTCCATATTTAGCTGACATTCTTGTCAAATTAGCGTCTGCTAGATGCCTCAAAAGGTGTTTTTCAGCTGGTGCGATAACAACGTTAGGTCTTCCATCTTCCGATTTATTATAAAGTACTTCTAAAAGAAGAATCACAAGCGTATAAAAAGTAGTGATTCTTATTTCTCAAATGAGAAAACTGTAACTACTAACAACTACTAATTTTTGTCAAAAGTTCGCGAAACGATTAAAAAATTGCATAAAAAACAAATCTTGCTGCAGAGACGTTGTAGGTTTTGAAAATTGCAAATCATCGCATCTTTTCTAACTTTAATTTATTTTGTTATAATAAATTTTGAGAGAATGGAAATGTTTCTCTTGACTCGGATTTTGTGGAACTTACCGTGTAAAAAAATAAATTCTCTGACTGAACTTATAGATAAAAACCGGCCGTGAAACGTGCGATAGCAGTAACGTTGTGAATCTTCTAACGAGGAAAACGTTTTGTTTTTTACCTAAAATAATCATATTTTCTTGCCGTTTTCAGGAACCGCAAGCTAAATTACCAAAGATAATGCTAAATGGGCTGTCATTGCAATCGTTATTTTTAAAAAAGCCTTACTAAGTTGAGTGTTTTAGCTTTATTACTTAGCAAAAAAATTTTTTTACCAGTTTTACTCGGAAAAACACAGCTTATTTATTGCAGAATTTTGATGCACACAACTTTGTAATTAAAAAATTTAACAAGAATTAGAAAACTCAAAGACAAACATCGATGTCATACAAGCAGTAGTGCCATTTTCCATCACGTTCATTAACTACCGTGCTTTTTTTAAGTTTTTTATTCTCTTCTCGGCCTTGAAAAAACTGAGGACACTTCTTTGTATAATCCACATCTGTAAACTCAGTGCCCCTTGTCTGCTAGACTAATTTTTATTCGTGGTTGAATAGAGGTCGCAAAATTAATTAAATGTTGAGATATCTATTAACTCTACAGTTTATCATCTTTTTCTAAAATTATATGAACTATTAACTTCATAACTTATAAATGAATAGAGATGTTGCACAAGTTCTGTTTCGCACGACAACAGTTTCTCTCATATGCATTTTTTGCACGACCAGTCTTAAAATCAAATTTGCTTTGGCAAAAGGCTTTTTTTTATTCAAATTCATTTGCTATCAAAACATTATTTGTAAAAAGAAGAGCTTGGATTTTCAGAATTGTCTATCACGCGCGGGTATTTATTCAAATTTGCAATCAGCCTTTGATTGACTAAAATTCGCTGTTTGTAATTTTAATGTAAAAAGGTTTAAACCTTACACACATCTATGTGTTAAATAAAAAAAGACAGTTCTTGATCTTTTAGATCACCCTGACAATACGAGAAATAATTTTTAACAGAAATTTAAAAAGCTTTGTCTACAGTTCTTCTTTTTCGCACACAAACCATAATAAATCACAAGCTTCGTATAGCTCTAACAGTTTCTGGCTTTTTTTGTCGCTATAGTTAAATTTACAAAAATGGCCTTACGATATGCCTGTTTTTCGCGAGAAGGCTGAAATTGCTTATTTTAATGCTTTTAAAGACACTGTGCATACTTGGACCTATTCGTTTTTTCAAACAAAGATTTCAGACATTAAAAGTACAATATTTGTCGACGCTTTCAGCGAAGATTTTTGATATGACATCATAAAATGTTCTAATGAAAAAAAACTACCGCTGACTTGGAACTACATGAATTGAAGACTGTTACAGACGAAAAACAAACTTCGTGGTAGCATCTTTCGTTGGTTGAACCTTGATGATCTCTGCAACGTCTATCACCCTCATCCATTGCTGAAACGAACAAACTTTTCTACTTTATTAATCACTTGTCTTAATATTTTACTTTTCTAGAAATGCTGACTAACGTAGTGTTAGAATTCCAAACGAGAATGTGCGCTCAAAAGATTTTTTGAACTGTTATGATGCATTAAATCGCCTTTACGCGCTTCAGTTGAGGCATTAAAGGGGTTTATTCCTGCAGTTTGAGTTACACTGGTTTCCAAGACAAATACATTCGTCGTTTGTTATTGCTGCTTGCTAATATTTTGTAAACAGCCTTCGATTAACTTCATAACGATAAATAGTGAACCTCTATTAGTGCATACAGCATATGCACATTTTCCGTTATCTACTGATATCCATTCACCAGTTTCATTTACCATGACATGTGCCCGATTGTTGCGCGGATGTCCAACTCCCCAAAAAGTGAAATTGGATTTATTTCCATCTAACCACTGCCAACTTCCATTAATCTTTTCATAACCAGTCCAAAAGCCATGCTTCGAAAAATGAAACATTATATCGTCTGCAACGTAAGTTCTTCCTCTAAATCTACTCTTAAATTCGTTGCGTTTTTAAACGCTACTATTCTTTGAAGACATTTTTACAAAGTTTCACATACAGAAGGATAGGTGCCTTAGAATTCGCTTTAGTCCACTATGTAACAATGAAAAGGAGGTAATAAAAACTTATCAGGCGACAGGAACAATGAGGTGACTTACTCTCTCTTTTGCTGAGTACTGACGGTAGCTTACCACCGTTATCTTCACAAAAGTCAGCTGCTCTATCATAATCCAAACACCTAGTGCTCTTTAAAAAATTTTTTTTAAAACTTTGAAAAGAGTTCTTTAATTGAGTTGATAACTCTTCATAAATTCAAACTCAAACTACTTTCTGCATTTGCGAATTTTCTGCCTGAAATTCTTTTCGCCTTGTGCTACTTTAGCGATGTTTCGACCAGTCTAATTCAAGATTTCTAACGCTTGGCAGAAAAAACAACTTGCTAAAGCTCGACTAAATAAAATTTTGTAGTGTACTTTCAAGTAATTTTTGCAGTTAACTTTTACAACGTTATTTTCGTAGTATTTTCATCAAAGAACGACACTTTTTTAGGTAAGGGCGCCACACACAGCCAGCGAACAGATAATTTTATAAACTTTGCGAACTATTTAGCTGGAAAATGTAAATTTTTGTGATTTTTAGATGCAAGTAGTCTATCAGATTATTTTTCACGCTTACTAGCTTACTTTTAATTAAAATCAAAAAGAGTTTCTAAATTCAGTCTCTGGATCGACAGCTCTTCTTTTCAGATCAGTCTTTTTTTAAGGTTCGGAAGTTTGCCGGCTCCCAGCACCCCGCTGCTGTACCGGTAATTACCAACAAGGCGCGACCACTGGAGGCTCATTGCATATGGCGCCCGTATCTAAAAAAGTGTCTCGAAAACAATATGAATAAAAAGGAATAGTACGATATCTGCGAGAAAAACCTTAATTTTGAAGCAGTAACGTCAAATTGTAACGGCGCACAAATTAAGAAGCAGTTTAGCAACAAATTGTAAAATATTTACTTCTAAATGACTATCAAAGCGTTACTCATATAAACTTCTATAAAAAACTTGATAGACAAGTTTTCAGGATACTTACCGAAAGGGCTGGTGTAGAGTGCACTTATTGACAAAAACGAAAACTAATAAATCAGAAAAAACTAACCTGAAGAAGACACATTTCGTCTATCATTGTCCACCCAGTCAAACAACTTCTTGACATCACCTCTAAAAAACAGCTAAAAATAAGGAAAGCCTTGCTGAAGGACAAGACGCTGTCAGTGGAGAATATACAAATAAATTTAGTTAAATTTATTATACCGGCTCTAAAAAGTACTTGACTTGGATTAGTTTTAAAGATCACCTCCAACTACGTTTAGAAGAATAACTATTATCCAATACATTATTTCAGCCGCACGAAGTTTTCCGAACCAAAAAACAAGAAGCCTCAAAAATCCGCTTCGTCGCACCAAAATGAATTTTCCTTGCTTTCTAAAAGAAACATTTACCACTTCTATTATTCACTGCTTATCGTTAAACCGATTTATCACTATTCATTAAAATTAGTTCAAGGAAATAAAGTATATATGTATAATTTGAAAGTACACGTGTTCATATATAATCGAAAATAATTTTTAATATAAAATAAAAATTTTTGAGACAAATCTTTAGTAGCGAAACACTGAGGCGGTTCACCTTAGCTTACAGCAGGAGGCTTTTATGTTAACAAAGGTTTAGCTGGTGCAATTACTATAAAAACAGTGAATTTTTATTAGTCTCATGTGCCTTTCAGCCCAAAACTCCGTTTTTCTAAAAAATCTTCAAATTAAGACATTCTACAGCAAAAAATCGTAAAAAATTTAAAAACAGATCTTTTTTTTTAAAATTTAAAAATACATTTTCTCTTGAACTTTTGCTCTTAATGTCTACTGATCCACTTGGCAGAGTTGAACAATGCACATCTGCAAAGAAGAAAATAAAAAAACCTAAAATACAGCCACAAATTCTTAGACCCTACCTCAATTTTGAGTCCACTAAGAAAAGTATGCTGTGCAGCAACTTGACAAATTTTGCAGCTTTGATGAAGTAAGTTCTTACAAAAAATTCATTTCTTTGTCTTCTATATTTGATTTTTATAACCTGAGCTTAAATCTTTAATAACTCCAGAACTTTACAAAAAATTTTATGCTATCAAATAATATATATATATATATATATATATATATATATATAATTTCAAATAACAGCATCTGCATTTAATCGCCTTTATTTCTCATTCAAATATTTGGAAGCAGCATAATACTTCAACATCACATTTCTTTTTCAACAGTCGATTGTAGATCATCGTTTAGTAAAACCATGGCACATTTAACAAATAAAGCAGAGTAAAACAAAAATACTACGCCATATTACTAGGCGGTTACTAAACTGCCGTTGCAACATGTTTTGATTTTGTCGACTATCCAGAAATTTTCAGTAGTTTTGTAAATTCTCTTATAAATTCTTTTTATAGCTGCATTTCTAAAAGAGAGTTTGGCTCCTTAGCGCGGACAATGCGGCAGGAAAAAATAATTCTGAAGTTTCTTATGAAAACTTGTTTTATGACTTCACATTTAATCCTTAAAATTAACCTCATTAGGT